CTAGGACACGTTCTCCACGGACCTTCGCGGACAGACAGCAACGATTTTGGATCGGCCGGGGAATAGCGGACCGGACGACGGTGAAAGTATCTTTAGCGTTTGGAGGTCCTTTCGTTTTTCGTGCTGAGAGCTGGGCATGGTTCGCGCGATTTGACTCGACCAACGCTGTTTTCTTTTGTGATTCACTTTAGGGAGGAACTCGTGGGCAGACGTTCCTCCGCGGTTCTGCGTTGTGCCGTGTTTATGGCGATTTAGGTGTGATCCTTTTGCTCCAAGCGTATTAGGGTGTTGCGATTAGGAAATCCTCCTAGCCCCAATGTTCTCACGTCCGCTACACTATCGCTTTACTAAAATAAAAACATGTCGATCATACCAGTGACGTATCAACTTGATTCATAGCTTTTTCAATTTGACGCCTACGAGGTGCCCGCGAAGCGATCGCTAACACGTGAACAATAAGGTAATCGACATCTCGTTAACTCGATCGAGAAGCAGTAGTTCTCAAAAATTCCAATCGATAATCATTGACATTAAAAATCGGATTTTTCGGAGCCCGGTAAACGCTGGCGTCAAAATGCAATTATTCGGAGGCCGGTAGGTAAAGTGTTAAGCGGAAACTGTCCGAAGAGTGCCAGCGGAACATCGGCCCGCGTTCCGAGCGGGAATCGAATCGGATTCCAAATCAGCTCCATTGTGTCACGCTCGTTCCTCTCTTGAAAGACGAACAGCCTTGAGCCGGATTGGCCCGGGGCCGGGTCCAAAAGTCGGGTCTGTCAATCGTCCAGCTAACGACTGGGGCCCCGTCACGAAGTAATCTCGACCGAACAGCCCGAGAGGCTCTCGACGGTCGCGACGCGGAGGATTCGTGCGCGCGCGCGCGATCCCTCGCGAAACGCAACACCTAATGACTCGCGTGAGCATCGGTAACCCGATCTACTCACGGAGGAGGTTAAAAACTGGCGCGCCGTAATTCGAGGCGGATACGCTACCCCGCGAGTCATTCACGATGCTCACTGGGCCCGTCCGACCGCATTTCGTCCGTTAAACGGCCGGATCGACGGAAAACGGGGCACAGTTCCCCGCGAGGGGTCGTCGCGCGGTCCTCTGGGATAACTCGTTGATTGATGGTCGCCGATCACCGGCGATTCGGAATTGCTTGAAGACAATTGTATTAGGTCGGCCAGAAGGTCTCGTCGAATTTTCAAATTTTCAAACGGACAAATTTCACTGGATTATGTTAAATTTCGTTGAACTACGCGTTGCGGATTTCATTCGAGAACTTTCTATTTCGGCTGTGTTCGACCTATTCGCGATATTTATTAGCGCATTATAATATAAACGCCGTATTGAGAAGACGGCAAGAATTTTTGGCCAACCTAATCATATGCGGACTGTGGATCGTTATGCAAATTGAAGTGTTTAAGGACATAATTAGAAACATAAACTTGCAATGGAAAGTAGCTTTTTCTTAGTGCTGTAAAAAGCACTGCACTTTGGATATTTTATGTATTTTTTCCGTGTCACGCGATCTGCAATATTGCAGTCTCGAGGTTCTCAAAAAATGCGTGTAAGTCTGTAGTCCGATAATATGTGAGATGATTGACGTCGAATAAATATGTTTGATATTGTAAGTGATTAGATAATAGCGTAGTATAAGGATCATGATACCAAATAATTAGTAATTGTTTCTGCTTATTCTTGCCACGAAGAAACGATTGCCTAAATAGAACCCTCAACATTCTCGTAGCAATCAACGTGTTAACGCGTTCGGTTTAAATTGCGAAAGGATCAATCACGGTCAAGGTCTAATTAATTTAACAGAAATTCCAAATCGGAAGGGGATTCACTCACCGGAAAGTATTGCCAGGCCGAAGAGTTCGCAGTCTCGCATGCCCTGCTGGCCGAGAAGCATGCATGTCTGCGCGTAGACTTCCTTTACTCTCGACTTCG